GTTGAGGGCCCCCCCCCCCCCCCCCCCCGAGTGCACAAATTTTTGTGCACCGGGCCTCTAGTCATTATATAATAGACTAATTATAGGTAATTCTAATTACGTGTTGCATTGGAGAAAAGATTCACCCTGTATGCTTGTCACTCCTTCTGCGTAGAATGCTATTGCCTCAGAAGCCAGCATGACTAGCTTCCACCCTAGTTTTAGATCTCAGTTGCACAATGTCACACTGTCAGGGTCACTGCTACCCTAGTCCCTAGCACTCACTCTCTTCCTAAGCCTACTTTACATTTTTTTCTATTTCACTTACCACCTGGCATTGTATTTGTTGTTTAGTGACTTTCTCCAACTTCAATGTAGCAGCAAATTTGTCTTTATTCATTGATATATTTCTAACCTTAGAACACTGCTTGGCATTTTAAAAATGTTCATCAGGTATGTGTTGAATGAATAAAAGAATGAAAGCCCATGAGCTTAATTTGGTTACACATTTCAACTTTCTCCTCCTTGTCCAAACCTGCTTCTGCTTTGCATGAACAGATCCCAAGTTCCGTAAAGACAAGCACCATGTCCTCTCTTTGATTCTTGGTGGAACCCCTAGTGCCTGGCACTCAGCATGCAATTTTTTATATTATCCATCCAATTTGGAATTCATTCAATATTGATACTGATATCAATGCATGAAATTTGAAGACAAGTATAATTATACAAATAAAATATAAACTGTTCACCGTTCACCTTTGGCCAGGCAATTATGCTATACTCCACTGGGAGCAGCTCACTCCAACATCTCATTCATCTAACTTCTAGGGACTCTAACCACTTGATCTGGAGGCAGTACCTCATTGTCAGGAAGCAATGCCATCATATTTTAAACTAAAATTTACATCAAATGATAAATATAATTACATTTTTCTCTGTACATTTAAATTATAATGCATGTTTTCAATTGAAGTTTGCCTTTTCATAAACATACTTTTAACACAAAGATAGACTATATCCAGAAACTTGCTGTTTACTTGTCATTAAAAATTAAATAGTAATATCTAGTTAATTTTTATCTTTTCGAGTTTAAGATACTGCTATAAATGCCCTTTGTCTTTGAAAACCATTGCCTAATCCAAACATTTTTCAGAAGATTCTTATAACAAAGATCCCTGTGTCTTTATTCTCTGAGCATAGCACCCAGTTTGTTAATAAACTATCATAGCTCATATCACATTTTGTAATTATTGATTTATAGACAACCTCCCCCAGTAGACTAACCTCCCCAGTAGGGAACATTAACTACTGGGTTTTTTAACAAACATAGGAGTCATGCACTTATAAAAGTTCTAGAAAGTATAGTGGTAGAGGTTGCACAACATTGTTAATGCCCCTAATGCCACTGAATGGCACACTTAAAATGGCTATTATGATCAATTTTATGTTATGTTTGATTGTCCACAATAAAAAAAAAATGAGGACTTACATTGGTGGTAAAATTATGTAAGATCTTAAGGTTCCTTTTGTGGTCCCTTCCTTCTTTAAACAAAAGGTACAATACGTCATGCCAGAACCAAATCGTCTTCATTCTTCGATGTAGTAAATCAGTCATCCTATAAACAGGATGCAAATGTATCAGCTGATATATCAAAAATGTGCATTGCTTGAGTATCTATTTGGTGCCTGGTCTCAATGAGGGTAATATGTGGCAACGATGATAATTCGTCTTAGCGGCTACCAAGAGCTCTATGCTTTATGCTCAACAATGAAGGCATGGGTTATTACACATTCAAGGAAGCTTAAAAATTAAATGGGTCCTATAGGGGAATGAAGAATCCATTAGAAAATATCCTTACTAGATGGCCATCTGATCTCTCCTTCTATTTCTCCAGGGAGAGTTCTGGACCACCCCAAGCTGCCTGTAGCTCTTATAGCACAGGGTGGGGTGAAATCTGCCTGTTTAATGTCCACGCATTTGCTTGATCACTCCTCTGCTATCCTCTTCTCCAGGAAAGTGCCCCTCTGTCACATCCCTGTCCCGAGTCCCTCCCTCAACATTTCCAGTGATGGAGCAGAAAGACCTAGACATGATCTTCTCTTTAAGAGCAGCTTATAGGCTAATTCTGCAGAGTGGCTTTTCCTGGTCACTCAATCTGTGGGCCCTATTGCTGTTTTCTTCTTAAATATCAATTTTACTTATTTCTTTCTAGAGGTCCAGTGCATGAAAATCATGCATGGGGGGGGGGCTCCCTCAGCCTGGCCTGCACCCTCTCTAATCTGGGAACCCTCGGGAGACCCTTCGGGGGACATCCCTCTCGCAATCCAGGATCGCTGGCTCCTAACCGCTTGTCTGCCTATCGACTTGATCGCCACCTAACCGCTCCCCTGTCGGCCTGATGGCCCCCAACTGCCCTCCCCTGCCAGCCTCATGGCCCCTAATGCCCTTCCCCGATAGCCTCATGGCCCCCAACTGCCCTTCACTGCTGGCCTGATCACCCTTAACCACGTCTGCTTCGTACCTACCACCGTGGCTTTGTCTGGAAGGAAGTCAGATGGTTGGGAGATGTCCGGTCTCCCGGTTTAATTAGCATATTACCCTTTTATTAGTGTAGATACTTATTTGTTTCAATTCTCGTCTCCCTGTTATTCTGTTCTGTGGACCACTATAAAACTAGTCAGTATCTTGTGTGATGAATGGCAGATTTTATATGCTAATATGTGTTAAACTGAATTGGGCAGTGGACTTAAACACAGAATTCCTCAAATCAAATCCTGGCCCTGCCTTGTAATAGTTGAATAATCTCAAGCAGTTTTTCAAAGTAAATATGACTACTTCAATTAAAAAATAATACATACTCAGTGCAGAAAATATGGGAAGAGAGAATTAATAACAATGCAAACAAGAAAGAGAAGCAGATAACACAAAACAATATCATAGCTAACATTCTGGAATGATATCTATAAGTTTTTTAATGAATAATTTTTTTATACCTAGTGGTTATCATGCTAAAAATATTGTTTTTATCTTTATTTTATCACTAAGCATCATAATGTAATTTCTCAATATATCATAAAATAATCATTTAAAATTATACCATAGCCCGGGTGTGTCATAACTCATGCAATAAATCCTCTACTGTTAAAATACATGCATAAATGATTAGGTTGATTTTTAGTTCAATATTTCATTGTGAAACAATGAAAAAGATACAACACAGACAAAAAATTATTAGCGATATTTTTTAAAGCTTGAATCAATAACAATTTTAAAAATAATTAGAAGGGCTCCGTTTACCTATAAACTGCACGAACATACTCAGAATCATCATTAGTCTGAGCATCAATACTCTTGCCCATAGCTGTTTCTGCAAAATATGGGTGAGAAGCAACCATTCAATTCTTGCACATGCCTTGTGTTTATTTTCCAGTGGCAAACACTTGAAAAAAGACATAAATTCTTATATATTTTAGAATTGTTCCTTTCCCCTTTCACTCTTGCACCTTTTGTTTCTCCTACTCCCTATTCATGCTCCTTCTTCCCTCTGACCTTCCTGGCAGGTTGGCTCTGCTCCAAGCTCTAGCAGTGGGTACTGCTTCTCAGGAGCCTAATTTAGCAGAAGGAC